CTAGAAAACAGATAATGAAACATCCTTCCTTATAGGAGAGAAATAAGAGGATATGAGAAAAGAGAGTTGTATATGCTGTAAAATGTAGTCCCTGTATCCTGTGTTTTTGCTCAGTTGTTTCTATTTGTTACCAAAGAAAGGCTCAATCAGGATGGGGAAGGTGCCCCTTAACTCAATAATGCATGTGATATTTTAAAAAATAAAGGAATTAATAGTATATATGATTTAAAAGAGAGGGGAGAAACAGACAGACCTAGCAGTGAGGAACAACCTTGCATTTTGGTTCCTTAGCATCAGGAGGAGAAAGATGTTGGTGGTTCCACAAGCTAGGAACAGTGAGAGCACAGAACCTGAGTTAGGGACAGAGAGGAACATGGGATCACAAAGAACAGAAACAAAGAGATGGGAGAAAGGCAGATGCAAATAAACTCAGAAGCAGACAGAAAGGCAAAGATGCTAAAAGGGATATGTTCTCAAAGACACAAAGAAAGAGGGGACAGAACCCCGCAAACAGACAGAGTACGGGCTAATCTTACTATGGGGCAGCTAGGTGGCACCATAGTGCATAGAGTGCCAAGCCTAGAACCAGAAGACTCATCTTCCTAAGTTCAAATCTGGCCTCACACGCTTACTAACTGTGTGACCCTTAGCAAGTCCCTTAACCCTGTTTGCCTCAGTTTCCTCATCCATAAAATGAAGAAGGAAATGGCAAACAACTCCAGTATCTTTGCCAAGAAAACCAAAAAAAAGGGGGTCACAAAGAGTCAAACACAACTGAACAACAAAATGGACAAATCACTAGGTATGCAAATAAAAACAAAATAATTTCTACTTTTGAAGAGCTTATATTCTAATGGGGATGGGGAAAGCCTGAATGGTGAAAAGGTGAAAATGTACAGAAAGCGAGTTGAGCTTGGTGTGAAGACAATATCGCCAACTGAACCTTCTTTGAAAGATGAACTTGACTTTGCTCAAATGATTCCATTGGTCCTGCTCTGACAACTGTTTTAAGTTCTGTTTTTGCTTCTCCTAGTAACATCAGCCATTGTTGATTACTATGTTTTAATAATTTGGTCTTCATGGAATGTCGCCCAAACAGGTACTGTCATGTTGACAAATGTATTAATTTAGAGAAGAGATATTTTGTATAGACTGTCTGGTGTTCTGAGGGCCATCAGGCTGGATCTCCTGCAGCATGCATATGCGTGAGATGGGCCTATCCCTGTGGTTGTTGGCATGGAGTAAAAATTAGCTTCAGTCAATGCTCATCAGTGCTTCATCAATGCATTCATCTTGCCACTGTCTGCTGATGGTTTTCTTTGTAGAGGCAAGTGAGATAAGTGGCCCATGTGATTTTTTGGCACTGTGGTCATCAGGGTATAAGAGCATAGTTGGCATTTACATAGGCCTTTAAGGTTTGTGAAGTGCTCTACAAATATTATTTCATTGATTCCCCATAACACCCATGAGGTACATGCTATTATTATCCACATTTTACAGATGAGGAAACTGAGGCAGAGGTCAAATGACTCACCCGGGCTCACACAGCTAACAAGTGCCTTATATGGAATGTGAACCTTCCTGATGACTTAGCTACCTCTAACTTCTAGAGCAAAAACCTTAGAAACTATCTAGTTACAAATGAAGAAATTGAGGGAAAGTGACTTGCCCAAAATTACATAGCTTATTAATAAGCTGGCCAGAATCTGAAACCAATGTCTCTGACTCCGGTGTTCCACGTGGCAAAGCCGTTGGAGTATCTTGAGACCAATGAGAAACAGAATTCAGAAGGGATGAGGTGGAGCTCTCAAAATCCTTTTCCATGTCTTTTTTGTCCCTGTTCTGTTTTGAAACAGTGGGACTGGCAATAGGAAAAGGCATGAGAGGATTACCTGAGTCCTACCTTCCTCCTCCCCACCCCGGATTGACTGAGTTACAAAAAGTGTGTGTGTGTGTGTGTGTGTGTGTGTGTGTGGTGTATATGTATGTCTATGTCTATATGCATTTTCCACAACTGAATCAAATTCCCACAAGTAGATGAAACATGCTTGTTAAGAGTCCTTGTGAATTGTTTCTATGTATTAAATTGCATATGTGGAATGGGATGAAAGGATAAAAAGGAAAGAAAACTAGAAGGGAAAAAAAAAGCCAAACACACAACAAAATGCACCACTTGTGCAGAATGGCAATTGGCAGGAAATGGACTGGAGTGGACTGTGTCTTAAAGCAGATGTGGTCAAACACTCAGTAGTCTGGCCACAACACTCCCAAATGTGGATGAACCAACCAAGAAATATCTGACTAAATAAATAAAAATACAACCAGATGGAGATAATGTTAACATGTGGTTTTCTGAGTCAATATGTGCCCATAGATATCCTTACTGATGTGCAGTAGTCCCCATTTCTATGAGTTTGGCACCAGTGTCTTAAAACATGAGGGTTTGGAGCCTTCACCTTTCATGCCAGAGAAATCAGCTATTACAAAGACAGGGAAAGACCTCTTTAAAAGCCACAAAACTAAGACCTGGCATATTTGGGGACCTTTAATGTATTACCTAAGGTCCTCAAAAGCAGTCAGTATCCTCTCTGGGAAATGTCTTGTTAACGGGACAGAAGGACAGAGATAAAGAACACTTTCGAAATGATCCTTTCTAGCCTTTTCATTTGCTAGTTGAGCAAAGTGAAGGAGATACACGGTCTCACATGGAAATCCCATAACAAGGGAAGGATAAAGCCAGAACTAGAATCCATGACTCCTGACTCCCAGGTCAGTGCTCATTCCGCTTTCCTAAAACTGTAATGGAAAGAATGTGGTCCCTCTAATGCAGAAATGGAATGGACAGGCTGCTAGGCACAAAGAATAGTACACGGAACCTAGAGTCGAGAAGACCTGAGTTCAAATCCAGTCTCAGATGCTTACTAGCTGTGTGACCCAGGACAAGTCACTTAACCTCTATTTGTCTTAGTTTCCTCAATGTAAAAAAAAAATGGGGATAATAATAGCACCTACTTCCCAGGGTGGTCATGAGGATCAAATTAAATAATATTTATAAAGTCCTTAGCACAGTAAACTTATGAAATGCTTGTTTCCTTCCTTTCTTCCAACTACTTGGTATGATTACAAGTATATGGAAAAGGCCCCTTCCGGGGTGAGATTTAACAGCAAACACCATCCCAGAGAGATGGAATCCCACCAACTTAAACTCATTCACACAGAAATATACATTGTTGACATCAGCTCCTTCGGAAGCAGAAATTCACATTCTGTCTTGGAAAACATGTCCAAATTAAAAATAAAATGTATACGAATTAATTTGGGAATGGGAGGGATGGGTATTATCTATTAGGTAGATCAGAAAAGACCACTTGTAGGAAGTAATGTTTGAGCTAGAGAGGCATTAGAAACAGCCTCAGTCAGGAATTGAAATATCCTATATAAAGAACAGAAAGTAGTGAAGTTAAACAGTACCATATAGTGCTTGAGGCAGGTAGGGAGGTGGGAAAAGGGTAATGTACATATAGTCTAGAAATGTAGGTTGGAACCAGTTTGTGAAAGGCTTTAAATGTCAGTGATGTTTAAATTCTGTCCTTGAGAAAATAGGGAGTCACAGGAGGTTTTTGAGAGGAAGAATAAGTAACATGGTAACACTTGTATGTGTACCAGTTTAGGCAGCTACATGAAGAAGAAGTTGATAAGGGTTGATTCGATACACGCAGGGTAAACCTAAGACAAAGGTCGGAGGAGCCATTGATGTAGGATATACCACCAGTTGAATTTTTCACCCTGCAGTCCATTGTGCAGGTATTATATAGACATGAGCACCATTATCTCCCCTGGTTTCACAAACTCCTAAGTGACAGTAAGGATCTGTGGGTGACCTCAGTGAGCCATACATCAGCTTCATAGATGAAAACTGTTCCTTTCTGAAACCTCCTTATAATAATGGGAAGTTTAACTTTCTGGGGACTTCATGCAGGCAGGAATAATTCCCCACATGTGCTCGTGTGGTGATTGTGTTGCTTTTTGAGAGAATACCTGTCAGAGAATGATTTAATGGCTCATACACTGCCTATGATGGATGATCCACTCTTTAAAGCATTCCTGAAGCTCTGCTGTTTCAAACTGATTTGACAAATGGAGGAGTTGCTTGACTTGGTATGTTTTGGTTTGATTTTTTTTTTCTCCCCAGTTAAAATGTGAGCAAGGACCCACCAATCAGAAAGAAGTGGGATAGTTTGAACAACATTTCAATTAGAGATATAAGAAAGTACAGTAGTTGATATATTAGTCCAGTTGCAGAAATAGATATGGGAAGGTTTGAGTGATTAGTTTTAAGAACATATTTAACATTGGCCAGTGTCAAAAGGTAATGGAATTTATTTCAGGTCTTCCTAAAAAGAAGTGGAGTGTCCAACTTTTTAGGGTCCTCTTTTAAGGGAAGACTTGAGGCAGGCTAGGATAAAACAAACTGCCTCATACATCCACTTCAAGCCTTATTCAAAAGGCCCTAAAATGAACAAAAGGGGCAAATGGATCAGTAAAACCAGTGAGGTATCAAATAACTTTCTGGGATACCTTTCAGTTAAATTGAGGAATTTAAATGAATTTTTCCTGGGGAATAATTGACATTCCAGTCTTCTTCCTCTCCAAGTTTATAATGGTCATTAGCCTTAAGAAAGGTAGTGGACAGAAGAAGCACAATTAGCTTTTCTGATGGTCATGTGACTAAATAAACAGGGACAATGCGGTGTAGTGGAAAGATCATCGGGAGACCTGGGTTTGAATGCTGAATCAGTTCCTTGCTACCAGTATGACTTGAAGTAAGGCCCTTCACCTCTCTGGACCTGTTTCTACATTTCTAAAATGAAATGGTTGAACTAAATTATCTCTGAGGTACTTATAGCTCTAAATCTGTGATCCTATAAGCACAAGATGGGTTCTCCATAGGAAGCAAGGTCAGTGGGTTTCTATCTGTCATTGTTTCCTCTCTCTTTCAGAAATCTTTGAGCTGGAAGTAAATGCCCACGTACAGAAGACTATTAGTGACCGGCAGATGCCTAAAATTGAATACAAAAGTATTGAGATCGAAGATTACAGTAAGTACTGGTTTTTCTTCTTTTTTTCTCATTTTTCAGTACTATTCCTGCTCTGAAATGACTCAGCTGTCAGTAGAAGATTGCTTTGCCTAATGACTTATGTGAAAGAATACCATATTATCCCAATAATGATAGTCTCTGCTCTTCAAACAGCTGGAAATGAGCTGTTCGGAAAAAAATGTTCTGAAATGATAGCCACCCAGGGAGAGATTCAGGGCAGCATAGAAAAAGAATTGTACTGACTGCATCAATTGAAAAGTATTTATTGCGCACCCAATACCTGACCAGAATGATGCTAGGCACTACAAGGGATAAAAAAGAAGCAAAAGGCCCCTCTCCTCCATAAGTTTACTATCTCAATGAGATAAGATTAATACTCTTTCTTCTCTATGACATTTATGTACTGTTCCAGTCTCTCTGGCTGCTTCTTCAATAGCTTCTCCTTCCCCTTCTCACCCTCCATATTTGGGAAGGCCCCAAAATTCTGTCCTTGGTTTTTCTTCACCTCTATCAAAATTTTCTTCTTTGAAGCTATATTCTTATAGCTTCAACTATTACTCCTAAGAAGACATCTCCCAAACCCCTTCCTCTAGACTTGACCTCTCTCTCAGACTCTAGTTCAGCATCTTTAATGGTCTACTGAGCATCTCTATTTGGTTATCCCGCCATCACCTGAACTTCAATATGTACAAGACTGAACTCAGTGTCTTTCACCAAACTCCAGTCCTCTCTCTGAATTTCCTCATTTTTGTGAAAGGATCATAGATTAAGAACCAAAAAAGAGCTTAGAGATCATCTAGTTCAACAACCCCCCACACACACACACACACATGCATATACATACATACACACCTACACATCTGACAGATGGGAAATTCCATCCCAATCTACAAATTCAATTTAATAAACAATTCAATTCAAGACTTATTAAGCATCTACTAGCTGCAAGGTATTATAGTAGATGCAAATGATACAAAGGTAAAAACAATAAATCCATTGTTAACCACATTTGGATACTGTCAATATCTATAATGAGAACTCTGGTATCTTTCTCATACTGAGACTATGAACAACAGATAAAAAGAAGGAAAAGCACAGTCTTTCTAAGATGGTATCTGGCTGGTCCATCATACTAAAGTGGTTGAGCTGTGTTTCAAAAGGAAGGAAGAGCAAGAAGACCAGGTGAGACCTCTTTGTGCTATGGCAATGCAGTTCCAAGGAATCTGGCTATATTTCAATCTGATTCAATGTGTCCTGGGATTCCCATAGACCAGGTTCAATCTTAGAGGTAGCCTTGAAAGGTCAATCTCTTTGACTCATATAGCCCTCACCAAAACTTGGCTCTGAGATGATTATCAAATATAGCTCATATCTGGATCTCCGTAAGTACGGGCAAGTGGGTCCCCAGATCCATACAAACACTCAGTGAAACAAATGTATTTGTCATACATGAGACAGATTTTGCCAGTCAAGAGAAAATGGGCTCCCGTAAATAATCATAATTCTCTTTGTCCAACATTCACTTTTGGACAAAATCCTAACATCCCCTAATTTAGTACCACCCTTTGTTTTGTGCCTTCCTCAAAAGGGAACCAAACCTAAGATTGCCAGTGCAACAACCCCACCCCCCAACAGTCCAGTGAGTCCCTTTTCCCCACAGGGAATGGTGTACGTCCTCACACAGCAGACATATGGTGTGACTTAGATCCCCTCAGAAGGGACACATGCTTGGAGTGGCTACACAGGCAACATGCTGGCATTCTCCTGAGTCCCTCTCTCACCTGACAGAAGCCCTCTGAGAGCTTGGACTATCCCAGGATGGTCAACACATTTGCGGATCCTGGTCAATCCCTTCACGTTGGACCTGCACTGCTCCTATGGACTCACTGATCATATAACTGTTATAGCAGAACTTATGTCATTCATTAATGGTTCTTGGAGGACAGGGAACCCCATATCTGCCAGCTGTATTCTCAAGAGCTCTCTGAAAGAAAGGCAGAAAGGAAAAGGATGAAAAGCACAATCATCAAGGAAGATTCCCTGTTATAGGCCAGAATAAAGGGAGCTCCTCCCAACAGAGCAGGAGCCAATTAATTCATCTTGAGAGCAGCCCCCATCAATGAAATTTGTTTTTCAGGAGGCACTACAGGGGACTTGAAGCCAACCAACTCACCTTGGAGGCAGCCCCAGTCACTAAGACTTAATCCAGATGTCTTTAATCTTCTCCACAAGGTGCCAGTGGGCATGTCCATACCCTCCATAGGGAGATCTTTACAACCCAAACAAAGGTTCACCTCCTTGTAATCTCATCAAATTGATTGGGGAACTCCTCTGATCAACCCCTAACACTAAAAATGTTTCATTTAGTGCTGCAAAGCGCTGTGCCAGGGAGGAAAGATGCAAAGACAGAAAACAAAACTGGACAGCCTTCCCCAGTGTTCTAGCGTTTATGTTCCCCTGTATTGTATGTGTCCATGGAGCAAATATTGTGTGTTGGGCTGGACGGTAAACTCCTTGAGGTCCTCAGCATAAAATGCATCAAAGGGCTATGCAGTAATGGCTCTGCGTTGCAGGATGAGTGACAGATGACAGATGACTTGGTGACACATTGAGTCTTTCCTTACTCTTTTGTATATATGTATATATACATATATATACATACATATATATACATATATGTATACATATATACATACATATATACATATATGTATATGTGTGTGTGTGTGTGTATATATATATATCAGAGGGCAGGAGACCCTGATAATTAGTAGTCAGTGGTCAGAGCCAATACTAGCATGTCATAGAGTCTATCTCCTCTGAAGCCTCCTGCTGAAGACTTTGCCTATTCCACCATTGCAAGTGGGATATAGTTATTCCTATAATGGCAAGACACTCTTTGATAACTGACAAAAATGAATTCTGCAGCAGAGGGCCATTGTGAGCTGACAGGAGGTGGAGGTGGTGTAAATATTTATAAAGGGCCTGAGGGAGAGCTTAAAGGATCACTTAGCTGGGCATCCTTTGGCTAGAGATATAACTGCCTTAATTTATATGACAGTTCAGTAGAATCATTGCCTTGAATACAGGAAGAGGGGTTGAATTCAGAACCAGGAAGACTCTCTGTTGGATTGGCAGGAGAACCCCAAGACATGCAAGCTAAGAGTCCTTTGAGGGGTGGGAGGAGAAGGATAAGCCTTGACCTCCAAGTTGCCGTCATTCCCATTTCAGCAGTAACTTGGTCATTATCGTTGGTCGAAAAGGTATCAGTTCCCCTCATCACTTCCTCTTTCTTTTGAGTAATGGATTATAATTAAGGCAAATCAAGAACTTGACAGCTGTTCTACTGTGTCTAGAGTGCTTCAGAGAATGACTATGGGTTGAAGTTTCCCCTCTCTTTTATGCTATAGCACTGGGCCGGCTTTTAGATATTTCTTGGACTGTTCCTTTATTTCCTTTTACTGCCTGGGGAGAGGCGTTCTTTACCTTCCTGTGCATCAGACACCCCCTTGTCAACCTAGTGAATCCCATGGACTCGTTATCACAATAATGTTGTTAAATGCACAAAAACAAAATACATAAGATTACAAAGAAAACCAATTATGTTGAAATAGTTATCAAAATATTTTTATTCATTTTGAACTTAAATACATATAGACAAAAAAAGAGAGAACATTTTCATATACAAGATAAAAAGAGGATTCACTATCAAAATATTTTTTTTAAAAGAAGTTCATGTTCCCTAGATTATGGACACCTATACTATAGTATCTCTTTGGTTATTTTCCATTCATCTTCACCCAAATTGTTCTTCACCTTCTCCCCTCCAGTTCCATATATATTTTCTATATCACTCAACTCTTTTTATCATTATTTTCTTTTTAACTGGCCCCAGGGCCAAGAAAACCTTGGTTCAAGTCCTGCCGCTGATTAATACTGGTTTATGGCACTAGGCAATTCACTTAACCTCCCATTGCACTGAGCAACACTTGAAGAAAACTGCAAGTGACAGAGAAGGTGCTCACCTGCATTGTTAGAGGGAATTGCTTCATCTGGGAGTCTCTCTACCAGTGAAATCACAGACTCAAGCCCTATTTCTGTACCTTTCCATAGCTGCATTTCAGCCATGAATCTGATGCCAGCTGTTACTTATCTCCTTGCATCTAGGTCTTTAGGCCGTCATATTTATTACCCATACTATGTGCACGTTTCTATAGACATCTGAGACCTTGAGATTTACTTCTGACTCACATCTTAGTTATTGTCTTTTGTGAATTCCTGGTCCTCCCTCCTGATAAGGTCTCTAGCCTGAATCCTATATATGTATACATACATGCATACATGCTTATATGTGTATATGTGTGTGTGTGTATGTATACATATATATACATAAATATGTATGTGTGTGTACAAACATACATGAAGGGGGATGTTTGGGATATTCAGGGAGAACTAGCATCTCTGGTGTGAGGGCTTGCCAAACCCTTTTCAGGGCTGCTCATCTACCTCTGGTGTCCACCTGTCTTCCAACTCTCTCTGTGACTTCAAGAAGTTGTAACACGTACAGCAGCCCTACTGAGACAAAACTGTCTCAGTAGACACCAGGTTTAAGGTAATCAACGGGTCTCAAACCTGTCAGTGAGTTAAGAGGATGTCTACTCCAAGCATGTCAAGACTTCTCTGAGTGGAATAGGTGGATGAGAACAATTTGTTCCAGTGGCCATGAAGGCAGCTGAAGCAGGTGCTGTGAAGCGCTTAGAGCTTGGGTGGATATTGAAGATGCCCAGGCCATCCACTGCATCCCAGGCCATCACCAGTCATCCTGACTTTTGTCTTGCCACTGGACTTCTATTAGGTTGATGACTCTGTGCAACCCTGCCTCACTTAAATCCAATTCACATGCAAGTCAAAATATTAGCCCATGATGTCATTGGTCCTCTATGAAAATGAAGTATAACAACAATAATAATGTATGGGTATATATGTGTGTGTGTGTGTGT